ATGATTGTCGTCTACATCAATGCAAGAATGGAGCCAAATGTAAAGATAAAGTTAATGGCTACATGTGTATATGTCCAGCTGGTTACAAAGGAAAGCGATGTGAAATAGGTACATTTTTGGAGTTTTGTCGTCTTCCGATATATAAGTTAAACGTTTAGGACATTTTCATATTTTGACAATAAATGTCTATTCATTGATTATAGTGGCCACAATATATTAAACAAAATCAAAACCTTATAGAAACGTTCAAAAGCTTACAAACCAAATATGACATAAATATAGCCAAACCTGATCAAGGAATACGAGTTTTGCTTGTAAAAGATTTATTCCTTGATTTATTATTTGTATGATTTAAACCTTTTTGACACCAAAAGTAACTCGAAAATATCAAATATCATATGAAAATAGATTTAAACGATTCAATTGTATATTATGGAAACTCAAAACTTTAAGAGTATCTTGTGCAATATTATGCTTTTTAACTTATCCTTCGGTCACGGGTGTCTAGTAAATGACGTACAGGTCGATGTTAAGTATTTCAGAATTTGAAACTTGCCTTGTTCTATAAAAAAATCATTACAAAATAAGTATTCAGCTTTGTTGTATTTTTGTAAACTGTAATATCTGAAATAATTGACATGCAGTGTTCATATTTCAGATATAAATGAATGTCTACCAAATCCATGCAAGCATGGCGCTGAATGTAAAGATAAAGTGAACGGTTACAGCTGCACGTGTCCCCCAGGTTACAAAGGAAAAAACTGTGAAATAGGTATACTGTCAGATTAAAATAAAATTTCTTTATTTTTATATATGATTTAAGTGTTGGAAATCTGTTTTCTTAGAAAAAATATATAAAACAAGGCAGAAGAGACTAAGGGGGCAACAAAACCCATATTTCGAAGACAAACAACCAAAACTTTTAACTTTTAGAATTTCAAAGATAATTATTGCTTAGTTGTAACTGTCTTCATTTGTTATCCGTTTCATTTTAGATATAGATGATTGTCGTCTACATCAATGCAAGAATGGAGCCAAATGTAAAGATAAAGTTAATGGATACATGTGTATATGTCCAGCTGGTTACAAAGGAAAGCGATGTGAAATAGGTACATTTTTGGAGTTTTGTCGTCTTCCGATATATAAGTTAAACGTTTAGGACATTTTCATATTTCGACAATAAATGTCTATTCATTGATTCTAGTGGCCACAATATATTAAACAAAATCAAAACCTTATAGAAACGTTCAAAAGCTTACAAACCAAATATGACATAAATATAGCCAAATCTGATCAAGGAATACGAGTTTTGCTTGTAAAAGATTTATTCCTTGATTTATTATTTGTATGATTTAAACCTTTTTGACACCAAAAGTAACTCGAAAATATCAAATATCATATGAAAATAGATTTAAACGATTCAATTGTATATTATGGAAACTCAAAACTTTAAGAGTATCTTGTGCAATATTATGCTTTTTAACTTATCCTTCGGTCACGGGTGTCTAGTAAATGACGTACAGGTCGATGTTAAGTATTTCAGAATTTGAAACTTGCCTTGTTCTATAAAAAAATCATTACAAAATAAGTATTCAGCTTTGTTGTATTTTTGTAAACTGTAATATCTGAAATAATTGACATGCAGTGTTCATATTTCAGATATAAATGAATGTCTACCAAATCCATGCAAGCATGGCGCTGAATGTAAAGATAAAGTGAACGGTTACAGCTGCACGTGTCCCCCAGGTTACAAAGGAAAAAACTGTGAAATAGGTATACTGTCAGATTAAAATAAAATTTCTTTATTTTTATATATGATTTAAGTGTTGGAAATCTGTTTTCTTAGAAAAAATATATAAAACAAGGCAGAAGAGACTAAGGGGGCAACAAAACCCATATTTCGAAGACAAACAACCAAAACTTTTAACTTTTAGAATTTCAAAGATAATTATTGCTTAGTTGTAACTGTCTTCATTTGTTATCCGTTTCATTTTAGATATAGATGATTGTCGTCTACATCAATGCAAGAATGGAGCCAAATGTAAAGATAAAGTTAATGGCTACATGTGTATATGTCCAGCTGGTTACAAAGGAAAGCGATGTGAAATAGGTACATTTTTGGAGTTTTGTCGTCTTCCGATATATAAGTTAAACGTTTAGGACATTTTCATATTTCGACAATAAATGTCTATTCATTGATTCTAGTGGCCACAATATATTAAACAAAATCAAAACCTTATAGAAACGTTCAAAAGCTTACAAACCAAATATGACATAAATATAGCCAAATCTGATCAAGGAATACGAGTTTTGCTTGTAAAAGATTTATTCCTTGATTTATTATTTGTATGATTTAAACCTTTTTGACACCAAAAGTAACTCGAAAATATCAAATATCATATGAAAATAGATTTAAACGATTCAATTGTATATTATGGAAACTCAAAACTTTAAGAGTATCTTGTGCAATATTATGCTTTTTAACTTATCCTTCGGTCACGGGTGTCTAGTAAATGACGTACAGGTCGATGTTAAGTATTTCAGAATTTGAAACTTGCCTTGTTCTATAAAAAAATCATTACAAAATAAGTATTCAGCTTTGTTGTATTTTTGTAAACTGTAATATCTGAAATAATTGACATGCAGTGTTCATATTTCAGATATAAATGAATGTCTACCAAATCCATGCAAGCATGGCGCTGAATGTAAAGATAAAGTGAACGGTTACAGCTGCACGTGTCCCCCAGGTTACAAAGGAAAAAACTGTGAAATAGGTATACTGTCTGATTAAAATAAAATTTCTTTATTTTTATATATGATTTAAGTGTTGGAAATCTGTTTTCTTAGAAAAAATATATAAAACAAGGCAGAAGAGACTAAGGGGGCAACAAAACCCATATTTCGAAGACAAACAACCAAAACTTTTAACTTTTAGAATTTCAAAGATAATTATTGCTTAGTTGTAACTGTCTTCATTTGTTATCCGTTTCATTTTAGATATAGATGATTGTCGTCTACATCAATGCAAGAATGGAGCCAAATGTAAAGATAAAGTTAATGGCTACATGTGTATATGTCCAGCTGGTTACAAAGGAAAGCGATGTGAAATAGGTACATTTTTGGAGTTTTGTCGTCTTCCGATATATAAGTTAAACGTTTAGGACATTTTCATATTTCGACAATAAATGTCTATTCATTGATTCTAGTGGCCACAATATATTAAACAAAATCAAAACCTTATAGAAACGTTCAAAAGCTTACAAACCAAATATGACATAAATATAGCCAAATCTGATCAAGGAATACGAGTTTTGCTTGTAAAAGATTTATTCCTTGATTTATTATTTGTATGATTTAAACCTTTTTGACACCAAAAGTAACTCGAAAATATCAAATATCATATGAAAATAGATTTAAACGATTCAATTGTATATTATGGAAACTCAAAACTTTAAGAGTATCTTGTGCAATATTATGCTTTTTAACTTATCCTTCGGTCACGGGTGTCTAGTAAATGACGTACAGGTCGATGTTAAGTATTTCAGAATTTGAAACTTGCCTTGTTCTATAAAAAAATCATTACAAAATAAGTATTCAGCTTTGTTGTATTTTTGTAAACTGTAATATCTGAAATAATTGACATGCAGTGTTCATATTTCAGATATAAATGAATGTCTACCAAATCCATGCAAGCATGGCGCTGAATGTAAAGATAAAGTGAACGGTTACAGCTGCACGTGTCCCCCAGGTTACAAAGGAAAAAACTGTGAAATAGGTATACTGTCAGATTAAAATAAAATTTCTTTATTTTTATATATGATTTAAGTGTTGGAAATCTGTTTTCTTAGAAAAAATATATAAAACAAGGCAGAAGAGACTAAGGGGGCAACAAAACCCATATTTCGAAGACAAACAACCAAAACTTTTAACTTTTAGAATTTCAAAGGTAATTATTGCTTAGTTGTAACTGTCTTCATTTGTTATCCGTTTCATTTTAGATATAGATGATTGTCGTCTACATCAATGCAAGAATGGAGCCAAATGTAAAGATAAAGTTAATGGCTACATGTGTATATGTCCAGCTGGTTACAAAGGAAAGCGATGTGAAATAGGTACATTTTTGGAGTTTTGTCGTCTTCCGAAATATAAGTTAAACGTTTAGGACATTTTCATATTTCGACAATAAATGTCTATTAATTGATTCTAGTGGCCACAATATATTAAACAAAATCAAAACCTTATAGAAACGTTCAAAAGCTTACAAACAACATATGACATAAATATAGCCAAATCTGATCAAGGAATACGAGTTTTGCTTGTAAAAGATTTATTCCTTGATTTTATTATTTGTATGATTTAAACCTTTTTGACACTAAAAGTAACTCGAAAATATCAAATATCATATGAAAATAGATTTAAACGATTCAATTGTATATTATGGAAACTCAAAACTTTAAGAGTATCTTGTGCAATATTATGCTTTTTAACTTATCCTTCGGTCACGGGTGTCTAGTAAATGACGTACAGGTCGATGTTAAGTATTTCAGAATTTGAAACTTGCCTTGTTCTATAAAAAAATCATTACAAAATAAGTATTCAGCTTTGTTGTATTTTTGTAAACTGTAATATCTGAAATAATTGACATGCAGTGTTCATATTTCAGATATAAATGAATGTCTACCAAATCCATGCAAGCATGGCGCTGAATGTAAAGATAAAGTGAACGGTTACAGCTGCACGTGTCCCCCAGGTTACAAAGGAAAAAACTGTGAAATAGGTATGCTGTCAGATTAGAATAAAATTTCTTTATTTAAAAATATGACTGAAACGTTGGAAATCTGTTTTCTTAGAAAAAATATGTAAAACAAGGCAGAAGAGACTAAGGGGGCAACAAAACCCATATTTCGAAGACAAACAGCCAAAACTTTATATTTTAGACTGTCATTGATAGTAATTGCTAATGGGGTAACTGTCTTCATTTGTTATCCGTTTCATTTTAGATATAGATGATTGTCGTCTACATCAATGCAAGAATGGAGCCAAATGTAAAGATAAAGTTAATGGCTACATGTGTATATGTCCAGCTGGTTACAAAGGAAAACGATGTGAAATAGGTACATTTTTGGAGTTTTGTCGTCTTCCGATATATAAGTTAAGGTAGATAGGGTGTCTTCCTCCATCTTGGATTTTGAAATACCAGAAAACAATCGGTCTAGATCTTTAATAAAAGGTGCAAATTTTGAGAGTAGTAGGTAATTCATGTGTAAGAATTTTCATTTCAATATAGAAAATGACATATTTTATCATATTTTTGGTTGTATTTTACAAAAAACCAGAATACTTTTGCTTGATTCTATTTTTTTCCAACTTTGCCACATAAGGGGAGGCAACTCAAATGTAAGGGCAGATAATTCAGATAGAGCTACTTTTACAATAGAATGTTTTAGGAATTTACCTATTTTATTATGTAGCAAGAAAACGGGTCCCGTGATCCCATTTTTTCTTTTATTTATCTGAAAGCATACTATTAGAGCTATCTTCTCTTATATTATCTCAAAATTCTATGGTGTAGTTTTCGTTTTATGGCAGAAAATTGGGTTTTCCATGCATAATCTATACAAAATCTGTCAATTTTGCACAACCTGTAGCGTGAAAATAAGCCCCGTGACCCATTCTTTTTATTAATTTTTTTTAAAAAGCATGATATAAACTACATTTTGTAAAATTATTAAAAAAATCTATGGATTATAATTCAGACACCCATTTACCTAAAACGTTTAGGACATTTTCATATTTCGACAATAAATGTCTATTCATTGATTTTAGTGGCCACAATATATTAAACAAAATCAAAACCTAATAGAAACGTTGAAAAGCTAATCAAACTAAATATGACATAAAATATAGCCAAATCTGATCAAGGAATACGAGTTTTGCTTGAAAGAGATTTATTCCCTTATTTAGCATTTGTATGATTTAAACCTTTTTGACACCAAAAGTAACTCGAAAATATCAAATATCATATGAAAATAGATTTAACGATTCAATTGTGTATTATGGAAACTCAAAACTTTAAGAGTATCTTGTGCAATATTATGCTTTTTAACTTATCCTTCGGTCACAGGTGTCTAGTAAATGACGTACAGGTCGATGTTAAGTATTTCAGAATTTGAAACTTGCCTTGTTCTATAAAAAATCATTACAAAATAAGTATTCAGCTTTGTTGTATTTTTGTAAACTGTAATATCTGAAATAATTGACATGCAGTGTTCATATTTCAGATATAAATGAATGTCTACCAAATCCATGCAAGCATGGCGCTGAATGTAAAGATAAAGTGAACGGTTACAGCTGCACGTGTCCCCCAGGTTACAAAGGAAAAAACTGTGAAATAGGTATGCTGTCAGATTAGAATAAAATTTCTTTATTTAAAAATATGACTGAAACGTTGGAAATCTGTTTTCTTAGAAAAAATATGTAAAACAAGGCAGAAGAGACTAAGGGGGCAACAAAACCCATATTTCGAAGACAAACAGCCAAAACTTTATATTTTAGACTGTCATTGATAGTAATTGCTAATGGGGTAACTGTCTTCATTTGTTATCCGTTTCATTTTAGATATAGATGATTGTCGTCTACATCAATGCAAGAATGAAGCCAAATGTAAAGATAAAGTTAATGGCTACATGTGTATATGTCCAGCTGGTTACAAAGGAAAACGATGTGAAATAGGTACATTTTTGGAGTTTTGTCGTCTTCCGATATATAAGTTAAGGTAGATAGGGTGTCTTCCTCCATCTTGGATTTTGAAATACCAGAAAACAATCGGTCTAGGTCTTTAATAAAAGGTGCAAATTTTGAGAGTAGTAGGTAATTCATGTGTAAGAATTTTCATTTCAATATAGAAAATGACATATTTTATCATATTTTTGGTTGTATTTTACAAAAAACCAGAATACTTTTGCTTGATTCTATTTTTTTCCAACTTTGCCACATAAGGGGAGGCAACTCAAATGTAAGGGCAGATAATTCAGATAGAGCTACTTTTACAATAGAATGTTTTAGGAATTTACCTATTTTATTATGTAGCAAGAAAACGGGTCCCGTGATCCCATTTTTTCTTTTATTTATCTGAAAGCATACTATTAGAGCTATCTTCTCTTATATTATCTCAAAATTCTATGGTGTAGTTTTCGTTTTATGGCAGAAAATTGGGTTTTCCATGCATAATCTATACAAAATCTGTCAATTTTGCACAACCTGTAGCGTGAAAATAAGCCCCGTGACCCATTCTTTTTATTAATTTTTTTTAAAAAGCATGATATAAACTACATTTTGTAAAATTATTAAAAAAATCTATGGATTATATTTCAGACACCCATTTACCTAAAACGTTTAGGACATTTTCATATTTCGACAATAAATGTCTATTCATTGATTTTAGTGGCCACAATATATTAAACAAAATCAAAACCTAATAGAAACGTTGAAAAGCTAATCAAACTAAATATGACATAAAATATAGCCAAATCTGATCAAGGAATACGAGTTTTGCTTGAAAGAGATTTATTCCCTTATTTAGCATTTGTATGATTTAAACCTTTTTGACACCAAAAGTAACTCGAAAATATCAAATATCATATAAAAATAGATTTAAACGATTCAATTGTGTATTATGGAAACTCAAAACTTTAAGAGTATCTTGTGCAAAATTATGCTTTTTAACTTATCCTTCGGTCATGGGAGTCTAGTAAAAGACGTACAGGTCGATGTTAAGTATTTGAGAATTTGAAATTTTTTTTGCCTCTTTCTATAAAAACATTATTACAAAATAAGTATTCAGCTTTGTTGTATTTTTGTAAACTGTAATATCTGAAATATGTGACATGCGGTATTCATTTTTCAGATATAAATGAATGTCTACCAAATCCATGCAAGCATGGCGCTGAATGTAAAGATAAAGTGAACGGTTACAGCTGCACGTGTCCCCCAGGTTACAAAGGAAAAAACTGTGAAATAGGTATGCTGTCAGATTAGAATAAAATTTCTTTATTTAAAAATATGATTGAAGAGAGTAAGGGGGCAACAAAGCCCATATTTCGAAGACAAACAGCCAAAACTTTATATTTTAGACTTTTTTTGATAGTTATTGCTCAAGGGTAACTGTCTTCATTTGTTATCCGTTTCATTTTAGATATAGATGATTGTCGTCTACATCAATGCAAGAATGGAGCCAAATGTAAAGATAAAGTTAATGGCTACATGTGTATATGTCCAGCTGGTTACAAAGGAAAGCGATGTGAAATAGGTACATTTTTGGAGTTTTGTCGTCTTCCGATATATAAGATAAACGTTTAGGACATTTTCATATTTCGACAATAAATGTCTATTCATTGATTCTATTGGCCACAATATATTAAACAAAATCAAAACCTAATAGAAACGTTGAAAAGCTAATCAAACTAAATATGACATAAAATTTAGCCAAATCTGATCAAGGAATACGAGTTTTGCTTGAAAGAGATTTATTCCTTAATTTAGCATTTGTATGATTTAAACCTTTTTGACACCAAAAGTAACTCGAAAATATCAAATATCATATGAAAATAGATTTAAATAATTCAATTGTATATTATGGAAACTCAAAACTTTAAGAGTATCTTGTGCAAAATTATGCTTTTTAACTTATCCTTCGGTCATGGGAGTCTAGTAAATGACGTACAGGTCGATGTTAAGTATGTTTAGAATTTGAAATTTTTTTTGCCTCTTTCTATAAAAACATTATTACAAAATAAGTATTCAGCTTTGTTGTATTTTTGTAAACTGTAATATCTGAAATATGTGACATGCGGTATTCATATTTCAGATATATATGAATGTCTACCAAATCCATGCAAGCATGGCGCTGAATGTAAAGATAAAGTGAACGGTTACAGCTGCACGTGTCCCCCAGGTTACAAAGGAAAAAACTGTGAGAAAGGTATGCTTCCAGATTAGAATAAAATTTCTTTATTTAGATAAATGATTTAAGTGTTGGAAATCTGTTTTCTTAGAAAAATATGTAAAACAAGGCAGAAGAGACAAAGGAGGCAACAAAACCCATATTTCGAAGACAAACAGCCAAAACTTTATATTTCAGACTTTCAAAGATAGTAATTGCCAGGGGTAACTGTCTTTATTTGTTATCCGTTTCATTTTAGATATAGATGATTGTCGTCTACATCAATGCAAGAATGGAGCCAAATGTAAAGATAAAGTTAATGGCTACATGTGTATATGTCCAGCTGGTTACAAAGGAAAGCGCTGTGAAATAGGTACATTTTTGGAGTTTTGTCGTCTTCCGATATATAAGTTAAACGTTTAGGACATTTTCATATTTCGACAATAAATGTCTATTCATTGATTCTAGTGGCCACCATATATTAAACAAAACCAAAACCTAATAGAAACGTTGAAAAGCTTACAAACCAAATATGACCTAAAATATAGCCAAATCTGATCAAGGAATACGAGTTTTGCTTGAGGAAGATATATTACTTAATTTAGTATTTGTATAATTTCATCTTTTTTGACACAAAAAATAACTCAAAAATATTAAATATCATATGAAAATAGATTTAAACGATTCAATTGTATATTATGGAAACTCAAAACCTTAAGAATATCTTGTGCAAAATTATGCTTTTTAACTTATCCTTCGGTCATGGGAGTCTAGTAAATGACGTACAGGTCGATGTTAAGTATTCGAAATTTTTAAACTTTTTTTGCCTCTTTCTATGAAAACATTATTACAAAATAAGTATTCAGCTTTGATGTATTTTTGTAGACTGAAATATCTGAAATATTTGACATGCGGTATTTATATTTCAGATATAAATGAATGTCTACCAAATCCATGCAAGCATGGCGCTGAATGTAAAGATAAAGTGAACGGTTACAGCTGCACGTGTCCCCCAGGTTACAAAGGAAAAAACTGTGAGAAAGGTATGCTGCCAGATTAGAATGAAATTTCTTTATTTAAATAAATGATTTAAGTGTTGGAAATCTGTTTTCATAGAAAAATATGAAAAACAAGGCAGAAGAGACTAAGGGGGAAACAAAACCCATATTTCGAAGACAAACAGCCAAAACTTTATATTTTAGACTTTCAAAGGTAGTAATTACCAGGGGTAACTGTCTTTATTTGTTATCCGTTTCATTTTAGATATAGATGATTGTCGTCTACATCAATGCAAGAATGGAGCCAAATGTAAAGATAAAGTTAATGGCTACATGTGTATATGTCCAGCTGGTTACAAAGGAAAGCGATGTGAAATAGGTACATTTTTGGAGTTTTGTCGTCTTCCGATATATAAGTTAAACGTTAAGGACATTTTCATATTTCGACAATAAATGTCTATTCATTGATTCTATTGGCCACCATATATTAAACAAAATCGAAACCTAATAGAAACGTTAAAAAGCTAATCAAACCAAATATGACCTAAAATATAGCCAAATCCGAACAAGGAATACGAGTTTTGCTAGAGGGAGATATATTCCTTAATTTAGTATTTGTATAATTTAAACCTTTTTGACACACAAAGAAACTGGAAAATATTAAATATCATATGAAAATAAATTTAAACGATTCAATTGTATATTATGGAAACTCAAAACTTTAAGAATATCTTGTGCAATATTATGCTTTTTAACTTATCCTTCGGTCATGGGTGTCTAGTAAATGACGTACAGGTCGATGTTAAGTATTTGAGAATTTGAAACTTTTTATGCCTCTTTCTATAAAAAAAATGATTACAAAATAAGCATTCAGCTGTGTTGTATTTTTGTAGACTGTAATATCTGAAATATTTGACATGCGGTATTCACATTTCAGATATAAATGAATGTCTACCAAATCCATGCAAGCATGGCGCTGAATGTAAAGATAAAGTGAACGGTTACAGCTGCACGTGTCCCCCAGGTTACAAAGGAAAAAACTGTGAGAAAGGTATGCTGTCAGATTAGAATAAAATTTCTTTATTTAAAAATATGATTGAAGAGAGTAAGGGGGCAACAAAGCCCATATTTCGAAGACAAACAGCCAAAACTTTATATTTTAGACTTTTTTTGATAGTTATTGCTCAAGGGTAACTGTCTTCATTTGTTATCCGTTTCATTTTAGATATAGATGATTGTCGTCTACATCAATGCAAGAATGGAGCCAAATGTAAAGATAAAGTTAATGGCTACATGTGTATATGTCCAGCTGGTTACAAAGGAAAGCGATGTGAAATAGGTACATTTTTGGAGTTTTGTCCTCTTCCGATATATAAGTTAAACGTTTAGGACATTTTCATATTTCGACAATAAATGTCTATTCATTGATTCTATTGGCCACAATATATTAAACAAAATCAAAACCTAATAGAAACGTTGAAAAGCTAATCAAACTAAATATGACATAAAATTTAGCCAAATCTGATCAAGGAATACGAGTTTTGCTTGAAAGAGATTTATTCCTTAATTTAGCATTTGTATGATTTAAACCTTTTTGACACCAAAAGTAACTCGAAAATATCAAATATCATATGAAAATAGATTTAAATAATTCAATTGTATATTATGGAAACTCAAAACTTTAAGAGTATCTTGTGCAAAATTATGCTTTTTAACTTATCCTTCGGTCATGGGAGTCTAGTAAATGACGTACAGGTCGATGTTAAGTATGTTTAGAATTTGAAATTTTTTTTGCCTCTTTCTATAAAAACATTATTACAAAATAAGTATTCAGCTTTGTTGTATTTTTGTAAACTGTAATATCTAAATATGTGACATGCGGTATTCATATTTCAGATATAAATGAATGTCTACCAAATCCATGCAAGCATGGCGCTGAATGTAAAGATAAAGTGAACGGTTACAGCTGCACGTGTCCCCCAGGTTACAAAGGAAAAAACTGTGAGAAAGGTATGCTTCCAGATTAGAATAAAATTTCTTTATTTAGATAAATGATTTAAGTGTTGGAAATCTGTTTTCTTAGAAAAATATGTAAAACAAGGCAGAAGAGACAAAGGAGGCAACAAAACCCATATTTCGAAGACAAACAGCCAAAACTTTATATTTCAGACTTTCAAAGATAGTAATTGCCAGGGGTAACTGTCTTTATTTGTTATCCGTTTCATTTTAGATATAGATGATTGTCGTCTACATCAATGCAAGAATGGAGCCAAATGTAAAGATAAAGTTAATGGCTACATGTGTATATGTCCAGCTGGTTACAAAGGAAAGCGATGTGAAATAGGTACATTTTTGGAGTTTTGTCGTCTTCCGATATATAAGTTAAACGTTTAGGACATTTTCATATTTCGACAATAAATGTCTATTCATTGATTCTAGTGGCCACCATATATTAAACAAAACCAAAACCTAATAGAAACGTTGAAAAGCTTACAAACCAAATATGACCTAAAATATAGCCAAATCCGATCAAGGAATACGAGTTTTGCTTGAGGGAGATATATTACTTAATTTAGTATTTGTATAATTTCATCTTTTTTGACACAAAAAATAACTCAAAAATATTAAATATCATATGAAAATAGATTTAAACGATTCAATTGTATATTATGGAAACTCAAAACCTTAAGAATATCTTGTGCAAAATTATGCTTTTTAACTTATCCTTCGGTCATGGGAGTCTAGTAAATGACGTACAGGTCGATGTTAAGTATTCGAAATTTTTAAACTTTTTTTGCCTCTTTCTATGAAAACATTATTACAAAATAAGTATTCAGCTTTGATGTATTTTTGTAGACTGAAATATCTGAAATATTTGACATGCGGTATTTATATTTCAGATATAAATGAATGTCTACCAAATCCATGCAAGCATGGCGCTGAATGTAAAGATAAAGTGAACGGTTACAGCTGCACGTGTCCCCCAGGTTACAAAGGAAAAAACTGTGAGAAAGGTATGCTGCCAGATTAGAATAAAATTTCTTTATTTAAATAAATGATTTAAGTGTTGGAAATCTGTTTTCATAGAAAAATATGAAAAACAAGGCAGAAGAGACTAAGGGGGAAACAAAACCCATATTTCGAAGACAAACAGCCAAAACTTTATATTTTAGACTTTCAAAGGTAGTAATTACCAGGGGTAACTGTCTTTATTTGTTATCCGTTTCATTTTAGATATAGATGATTGTCATCTACATCAATGCAAGAATGGAGCCAAATGTAAAGATAAAGTTAATGGCTACATGTGTATATGTCCAGCTGGTTACAAAGGAAAACGATGTGAAATAGGTACATTTTTGGAGTTTTTTCGTCTTCCGATATATAAGTTAAACGTTAAGGACATTTTCATATTTCGACAATAAATGTCTATTCATTGATTCTATTGGCCACCATATATTAAACAAAATCGAAACCTAATAGAAACGTTAAAAAGCTAATCAAACCAAATATGACCTAAAATATAGCCAAATCCGAACAAGGAATACGAGTTTTGCTAGAGGGAGATATATTCCTTAATTTAGTATTTGTATAATTTAAACCTTTTTGACACACAAAGAAACTAGAAAATATTAAATATCATATGAAAATAAATTTAAACGATTCAATTGTATAGTATGGAAACTCAAAACTTTAAGAATATCTTGTGCAATATTATGCTTTTTAACTTATCCTTCGGTCATGGGTGTCTAGTAAATGACGTACAGGTCGATGTTAAGTATTTGAGAATTTGAAACTTTTTATACCTCTTTCTATAAGAAAAATGATTACAAAATAAGCATTCAGCTGTGTTGTATTTTTGTAGACTGTAATATCTGAAATATTTGACATGCGGTATTCACATTTCAGATATAAATGAATGTCTACCAAATCCATGCAAGCATGGCGCTGAATGTAAAGATAAAGTGAACGGTTACAGCTGCACGTGTCCCCCAGGTTACAAAGGAAAAAACTGTGAGAAAGGTATGCTGTCAGATTAGAATAAAATTTCTTTATTAAAATAAATGATTTAAGTGTTGGAAATCTGTTTTCTTAGAAAAATATGAAACACAAGGCAGAAGAGACTAAGGGGGCAAGAAAACCCATATTTCGAAAACAAACAGCCAAAACTTTATATTTTAGAATTTCAAAGATATCAATTGCCTAGGGGTAACTGTCTTCATTTGTTATCCGTTTCATTTTAGATATAGATGATTGTCGTCTACATCAATGCAAGAATGGAGCCAAATGTAAAGATAAAGTTAATGGCTACATGTGTATATGTCCAGCTGGTTACAAAGGAAAGCGATGTGAAATAGGTACATTTTTGGAGTTGTGTCGTCTTCCGATATATAAGTTAAACGTTTAGGACATTTTCATATTTCGACAATAAATGTCTATTCATTGATTCTATTGGCCACAATATATTAAACAAAATCAAAACCTAATAGAAACGTTGAAAAGCTAATCAAACTAAATATGACATAAAATTTAGCCAAATCTGATCAAGGAATACGAGTTTTGCTTGAAAGAGATTTATTCCTTAATTTAGCATTTGTATGATTTAAACCTTTTTGACACCAAAAGTAACTCGAAAATATCAAATATCATATGAAAATAGATTTAAATAATTCAATTGTATATTATGGAAACTCAAAACTTTAAGAGTATCTTGTGCAAAATTATGCTTTTTAACTTATCCTTCGGTCATGGGAGTCTAGTAAATGACGTACAGGTCGATGTTAAGTATGTTTAGAATTTGAAATTTTTTTTGCCTCTTTCTATAAAAACATTATTACAAAATAAGTATTCAGCTTTGTTGTATTTTTGTAAACTGTAATATCTAAATATGTGACATGCGGTATTCATATTTCAGATATAAATGAATGTCTACCAAATCCATGCAAGCATGGCGCTGAATGTAAAGATAAAGTGAACGGTTACAGCTGCACGTGTCCCCCAGGTTACAAAGGAAAAAACTGTGAGAAAGGTATGCTTCCAGATTAGAATAAAATTTCTTTATTTAGATAAATGATTTAAGTGTTGGAAATCTGTTTTCTTAGAAAAATATGTAAAACAAGGCAGAAGAGACAAAGGAGGCAACAAAACCCATATTTCGAAGACAAACAGCCAAAACTTTATATTTCAGACTTTCAAAGATAGTAATTGCCAGGGGTAACTGTCTTTATTTGTTATCCGTTTCATTTTAGATATAGATGATTGTCGTCTACATCAATGCAAGAATGGAGCCAAATGTAAAGATAAAGTTAATGGCTACATGTGTATATGTCCAGCTGGTTACAAAGGAAAGCGATGTGAAATAGGTACATTTTTGGAGTTTTGTCGTCTTCCGATATATAAGTTAAACGTTTAGGACATTTTCATATTTCGACAATAAATGTCTATTCATTGATTCTAGTGGCCACCATATATTAAACAAAACCAAAACCTAATAGAAACGTTGAAAAGCTTACAAACCAAATATGACCTAAAATATAGCCAAATCCGATCAAGGAATACGAGTTTTGCTTGAGGGAGATATATTACTTAATTTAGTATTTGTATAATTTCATCTTTTTTGACACAAAAAATAACTCAAAAATATTAAATATCATATGAAAATAGATTTAAACGATTCAATTGTATATTATGGAAACTCAAAACCTTAAGAATATCTTGTGCAAAATTATGCTTTTTAACTTATCCTTCGGTCATGGGAGTCTAGTAAATGACGTACAGGTCGATGTTAAGTATTCGAAATTTTTAAACTTTTTTTGCCTCTTTCTATGAAAACATTATTACAAAATAAGTATTCAGCTTTGATGTATTTTTGTAGACTGAAATATCTGAAATATTTGACATGCGGTATTTATATTTCAGATATAAATGAATGTCTACCAAATCCATGCAAGCATGGCGCTGAATGTAAAGATAAAGTGAACGGTTACAGCTGCACGTGTCCCCCAGGTTACAAAGGAAAAAACTGTGAGAAAGGTATGCTGCCAGATTAGAATAAAATTTCTTTATTTAAATAAATGATTTAAGTGTTGGAAATCTGTTTTCATAGAAAAATATGAAAAACAAGGCAGAAGAGACTAAGGGGGAAACAAAACCCATATTTCGAAGACAAACAGCCAAAACTTTATATTTTAGACTTTCAAAGGTAGTAATTACCAGGGGTAACTGTCTTTATTTGTTATCCGTTTCATTTTAGATATAGATGATTGTCATCTACATCAATGCAAGAATGGAGCCAAATGTAAAGATAAAGTTAATGGCTACATGTGTATATGTCCAGCTGGTTACAAAGGAAAACGATGTGAAATAGGTACATTTTTGGAGTTTTGTCGTCTTCCGATATATAAGTTAAACGTTAAGGACATTTTCATATTTCGACAATAAATGTCTATTCATTGATTCTATTGGCCACCATATATTAAACAAAATCGAAACCTAATAGAAACGTTAAAAAGCTAATCAAACCAAATATGACCTAAAATATAGCCAAATCCGAACAAGGAATACGAGTTTTGCTAGAGGGAGATATATTCCTTAATTTAGTATTTGTATAATTTAAACCTTTTTGACACACAAAGAAACTAGAAAATATTAAATATCATATGAAAATAAATTTAAACGATTCAATTGTATAGTATGGAAACTCAAAACTTTAAGAATATCTTGTGCAATATTATGCTTTTTAACTTATCCTTCGGTCATGGGTGTCTAGTAAATGACGTACAGGTCGATGTTAAGTATTTGAGAATTTGAAACTTTTTATACCTCTTTCTATAAGAAAAATGATTACAAAATAAGCATTCAGCTGTGTTGTATTTTTGTAGACTGTAATATCTGAAATATTTGACATGCGGTATTCACATTTCAGATATAAATGAATGTCTACCAAATCCATGCAAGCATGGCGCTGAATGTAAAGATAAAGTGAACGGTTACAGCTGCACGTGTCCCCCAGGTTACAAAGGAAAAAACTGTGAGAAAGGTATGCTGTCAGATTAGAATAAAATTTCTTTATTAAAATAAATGATTTAAGTGTTGGAAATCTGTTTTCTTAGAAAAATATGAAACACAAGGCAGAAGAGACTAAGGGGGCAAGAAAACCCATATTTCGAAAACAAACAGCCAAAACTTTATATTTTAGAATTTCAAAGATATCAATTGCCTAGGGGTAACTGTCTTCATTTGTTATCCGTTTCATTTTAGATATAGATGATTGTCGTCTACATCAATGCAAGAATGGAGCCAAATGTAAAGATAAAGTTAATGGCTACATGTGTATATGTCCAGCTGGTTACAAAGGAAAGCGATGTGAAATAGGTACATTTTTGGAGTTGTGTCGTCTTCCGATATATAAGTTGAAAGTTTCGGACATTTTCATATTTCGACAATAAATGTCTATTCATTGATTCAATTGGCCACCATATATTAAACAAAATCAAAACCTTATAGAAACGTCCAAAAGCTTACAAACCAAATATGACCTAAAATAATGTCTATTATTCGATTGATTGTTTGATTGATTCTAGCATGTCTAATGGCCTCATTGATTCTAGTGGCCACAATATATTAAACAAAATCAAACCTAATAGAGACGTTGAAAGCTAATCAAACCCAATATGACCAAAAAAATAGCTATATCTGATCAAGGAATACGACTTTTGCTTGAAGGAAATATATTCCTTAATTTAGTATTTGTATAATTTAAACTTTTTTGACACAAAAAGTAACTCGAAAATATTAAATACCATCGGAAAATAAATTTAAACGATTCAATGATATATAATGGAAACTCCAAACTTTAAGAGTATCTTGTGCAATATTATGTTTTTTAACTTATGCTTCGGTCATGGGTGTCCAGTATATGACGTACGGGTCGATGTTAAGTATTTGAGAATTTGAAACATTTTTTGCCTCTTTCTACAAAAAAAATGGTTACAAAATAAGTATTCAGCTTTGTTGTATTTTTGTAAACTGTAATATCTGAAATATTTGACATGCGGTATTCATATTTCAGATATAAATGAATGTCTACCAAATCCATGCAAGCATGGCGCTGAATGTAAAGATAAAGTGAACGGTTACAGCTGCACGTGTCCCCCAGGTTACAAAGGAAAAAACTGTGAAATAGGTATGCTGTCAGATAAGATTAAAATTTCTTTATTTAAAAATATGATTTAAATGTTGGAAATCTGTTTTCTTAGAAAAAATATGAAAAACAAGGCAGAAGAGACTAAGGGGGCAACAAAACCCATATTTCGAAGACAAACAACCAAAACTTTTAACTTTTAGACTTTCGAAGATAGTAATTGCTTAGGTGTAGCTGTCTGCATTTGTTATCCGTTTCATTTTAGATATAGATGATTGTCGTCTACATCAATGCAAGAATGGAGCCAAATGTAAAGATAAAGTTAATGGCTACATGTGTATATGTCCAGCTGGTTATAAAGGAAAGCGATGTGAAATAGGTACATTTTTGGAGTTTTGTCGTCTTCCGATATATAAGTTAAACGTTTAGGACATTTTCATATTTTGACAATAAATGTCTATTCATTGATTCTAGCATGTCTAGTGGCCACAATATATTAAACAAAATCAAAACCCAATAGAAACTTTGAAAAGCTATTCAAACCAAATATAACCTAAAATATAGCCAAATCCGATCCGAGTTGTGCTTGAGGGAGATATATTCCTTAATTTAGTATTTGTATAATTTAAAACTTTTTGACACAAAAAGCAACTGGAAAAAATTAAATATCATATGAAAAAAAATTAAATTATTCAATTGTATATTATTGAAACTCAAAACTTTTAGAGTATCTTGTGCAATATTATGCTTTTTAACTTATCCTTCGGTCATGGGTGTCTAGTAAATGACGCAGAGGTCGATGTTAAGTTTTTGAGAATTTGGAAACTTTTTTGCCTCTTTCTAAAAAAAAATGATTACAAAATAAGTATTCAGCTTTGTTGTATTTTTGTAAACTGTAATATCTGAAATATTTGACATGCGGTATTCATATTTCAGATATAAATGAATGTCTACCAAATCCATGCAAGCATGGCGCTGAATGTAAAGATAAAGTGAACGGTTACAGCTGCACGTGTCCCCAAGGTTTCAAAGGAAAAAACTGTGAAATAGGTATGCTGTCAGATTAGAATAAAATTTCTTTATCTAAATATATGATTTAAGTGTTGAAAATCTGTTTTCTCCGAACAAAATATGAAGAATAAGGCAGAAAGGACTAAGGTGGCAAACAGTCAACACTTTTAACTTTAAAACTTTCAAAGAGAGTAATTGCTTAGAGGTAACTGTCTTCATTTATTATCCGTTTCATTTTAGATATAGATAATTGTCGCCTACATCAATGCAAGAATGTAGCCAAATATAAAGACAAAATTAATGGCTACATGTGTATATGTCCACCTGCTTACAAAGGAAGGCGATGTGAAATAGGCACATCTTTGGAGTTTTGTTGTCTTCCGATATATAAGTTAAACATTTATGACGTTTTCATCTTTCAAATTTCGACGAAGAATTTCTCTTCAGTGATTGTCGAGAACGAAATATTTGAAAATTTAAAATAATAAAATATAATAGAGCTTATTAAAGCAAAGAGGACATAAATAATAGCCAATTGCGGACAAAATATAAGAAATCTGCATGAAAGAGATATATTAAAAGAAACTATATATTAAAAATAATTTAATTTGAACCTTTTAGACCATAAAGTAGCTGGAATATTTTTAGTGGACAATTAATGGTATATTATTGAACCTTCAAAAGTTTTAAGTATCTTGTGCGACATTATTCTTTCTGAGTGATCATTTTATCGCAGATCACAATTTATAACGTACAGGTCGATTTTAAGTATTCAAGAATTTGAAACTTGCATTTTCTTGAAAAATAAATTACGAAACCAATTTTCAATAAGTTGTACTTTTGTATACTCTAACATGTGTAAGATTTGAAATAGTTGATATGTTATATATATATTTCAGATATAAATGAATGTCTGTCAAATCCATGCAAGCATGGAGCTCGATGCAAAGATAAAGTGAACGGTTACAGTTGCTCATGTCGCCTAGGTTACAAAGGGAAAAACTGTGAGATAGGTATGATATCAGATTAAAATAAAGATGTCTTAATGTCAAAATAGCATTTAAGAAAAGTAAATCTGCTTTCCTAGAAAAAGAATGATATACACAGGAGAAGAGACTAAAGTTGCAACAAAACGCATATTTCGAGAACAAACAGTCAACACTTAACTTTAAAAAAGAGTAATTTCTTAGGGGGAACTGACTTTGTTCGTCTCTGTAATAAAACTGACTTAAGTAGGATGTTTAGCTTTTCAATACTAGTACCTCATATCAAAAACCAAATATGATCAAATATACCTCATGTATTTTATCTACCTCATTATCCAGAAATCCAAATAACTATAAAGGAATAGAAATAAATACTTTTTTCTGTGATTGGTTTTTAATCAGATATTATTTAAAATGGATAAATGGTATCCTTTGTGTAGTTGTCTTGGTGATTCACGGGCCAAATCGGATCCTAGCATAAAATTGTTGAAATAAGTTTTCGCTGCGTTCCGCTTGGCGGTATTTATACAGTTTTCGGGAATTATAGTCCCCTTAAAACCTCCTGAATTCGACCCTTGAATGTGCTGTCAAATTGAAGTTTAACTGTATTGAAGGCTAAATTCTTGGACAACACGAAAGCAGCCACCACTCTTAGATTATGATAATGGATGGCTGTTTAACGTACAGCGGCAAATTGATATGCATATTCAGGACGAGGACATGATAATGTTATATGAATGTTAACCCTTCTTTGTACTAGACCGACAGACTGAGCCGGATTTTTATCGTGCTAGTTCACAAGGTAACAGTCCACAGGAAGATATGTCACCTTACCCGGACACATTATTCTGACTCCGAGCTGACCAGTGTTTGCTCTTACTCCTTAATGTCTCCACCACTGTAGATATCAATAATCAACTGAAGGTTTATACAGACAAAAAAGAAGAGTTGTCATATAAAAATCATGATAGAACAGGGAATTTCTATATGATGGCCCGAACACGAGAATTTTACAGAATAAAAATTTTTCAACTCAATAGAGACCCTATCCAGACCCTCATGTTATGGATACTTTCACAAAATCTTATCCATATGATAAACTTTTAAACCAATGTTTTTCATTCGAATGATTCATGGGTTAAATAATGAGTATACTAGACTTTGTTTTATCTGCACCATAGTCAACTTTGATACCTGTTTCGTCCAAATCCCTGTTAGAATTTGATTTGATTTGTTCTTGTTCATATTTGGTTTTCGTTCATTATTTTGTACATAAATCAGGCCGTTTGTTTTCTCGTTTTGAATTGTTTTACATTTTTCATTTCGGGCCTTTTATAGCTGACTATGCGGTATGGGTTTTGCTTATTGCTGAAGGCCGTACGGTGACCTATATTTGTTTGTGGAGAGTTGTCTCATTAGCAACAATACCACATCTTCTTATTTTTATATCTGTTTGGAAACATCGATATTAAATTTGATGTTCAAAAACTTAAATTCATGCCCAGTAGTCAGCATTTCTGTGTTGACATGAATTATCATTTATATGACATTTAGGGGCCAGTTGAAGGACGCCTCCGGTTGCGGGAGTTTCTCGCTGCATTGAAGACCCATTGGTGGCCTTCAGCTGCTGTCTGCTCTATTGTCGGGTTGTTGTCTCTTTGACACATTCCCCATTTCCATTCTCAATTTTATGGTTATAATTATAAATAAACTGTTTACAAAACTTTATATGTTTCGAAAAATAAGGATATTTCATCCCAGGAATAGATAACCTTAGCTGTATTTTGGCAAAACCTTTTGGAATATTGGGTTCTCAATAGTCCCCAACTTTAAACAATGTTTGGCCATTTTAACTGTTTTAATCGATTGTCACTGATGAGTCTTTTGTAGTCATAACGAATGTCTGGCGTACAGTATTTCAAGTGTGGTATCTTTAATGATTTATTATGAAAGTAAATATTACATTCACTATAACAAATGTTTTTCTTTTTTCTATCATGATTTCTTTGATTGAGGGTTGCTGCTCACAAGAAAGCTATTAAACCAAAAGTTCCAAGTGATGAAATTGAAATCATTGTAAATTTTACGGACGACGTCACGAGTTGGTTGACCGTTATGGAATATCCGTTTCACAGATGATAACGGATATGTTCCAATTTTCGTAAATACAATCCAATCCCCTTTTCACCGAAAGTGACCTCACGAATAAGACTTATCATCGAGTTTGTGCTAACATGAACAACACGACGGGTGCCACATGTGGAGCATGATCTGCTTACCATTCCGGAGCACCAGAGATCGCTCCCAGTTTTTCTTTGGGTTCGTGTTGCTAAGTCTTTGGTTTTCAAAGTTGTGTTTTATGCACTGTTGTTTGTCTGTTGGTTTGTTTTTGCCATGGCGTTATCAGTTTATTTTCGACCATGTAAACGCAGTAAAGTGAATGATTAAATGTGTGTCTGCAAACAAGGTTACAAAGGAGAGAACGGTGAAATAGGTAATATTATTATCAACATTTTGTTTTCCCACAATCGTAATTAGAACGATTCCTACAATCGTATTTACAACGATTTCTCATGTTATAGTATATTTTTCTATAACACAGAAATAACAGATACTCATTTTTTTATTCAGATTTTTTACAGTGTTTTTGTTTGTATTGAAACATACTGATTCCAAAAAATAAACATACATAGGTCGATGCCATATTGTTTTCCCTTAATTCTTAATTGAAAATTGATTTGCGCAATTTGCGTTAAACTTATGTTTTCTTTTATTATGTATTAAGTAGTCTTGACATACAAATCCTTATTACGGAAGATTTGTTTCTATTTCGAAACTGACAAAAACAAAATTGGAGACATAATAAGCGCTTTGCGTAATTATTCCTTTTGAATTCTAAGTTGTTATCTCTGATGCTTGAAAACGATATTGATTATGATGATTTTAAAATATACCTTTAAAGAGTTATTGCTTAGGTTGTTTTAGCAATGACACATCAAAAGATACAGAAAACTATGTTGCTGTTTTTTTTTTAATTGAAACATATAGTAAATGGATGAGTCTGAAAATTCTTAATTATATAGGCAATGGACTCTAAATGATAATTGTAGAATATACTTGTTTTTCAATTTCCTTAAAAAACTTTTTCTCATATTCGTTTGCCTTTTATTAGACAATTCAAATATGTTATGTTGAAAATGAAAGGATATGGAGTCAATGTACATGGAACAAAATCGCACACAATACATAGAAAACGTAGAAAATTATCAATGAACAGGGCTTTTATTCCTGTTCTTCATCTTGACAGTTGATGTAGGGTCTTCAACAATGAACGAATAATTCATACCCTACAACAAGGTAAAGACGTATGTTGACCTACTTAATAATCTCCTTAGTTGAAATATCTCTCTACTAATTTTAAGTGAGTATCGATTTTATTATTTTAGATATAAATGAATGCCAATCAAACCCATGCAAGCATGGTGGAACATGTGACGATCAGGTTAATGGTTACAAATGCACCTGTATACCAGGTTACATAGGACATAACTGTGAAACAGGTAGTATATTACTATATTACTGTGTATTTAGACTACTGAAATGATTTATGATATAGTGTGTTGTCCGATATTCCGGATGATAGGAGCATCTACGTGAAGCACGAAGTTGTATTGTACTGTATCAACAGCACAAGAAAAAAAATGTTACCAATATAACAAAAAAAATAGATTTGAAGTTTGCTTTGTCTTTTTCGTTTAATTCTCATTGTAGTTTCTTAAATCTTATCTGATTTATGTATGATGCACATTTGGTAAAACATCAAACGTTTATAACATGCGTAATTTATACAATTGTGCAATGGTCGTAGAAGATATACACTGTTTTCCACAATAAACTTCATGTATTAAACACACTTATAAATAATATGTCAGCTTATAAATTGATTCATATTTAGAAGCTCCTTTTATTTTAATGTTTATTTTGATTTTTTTAAATTATGAAACATATAGGACAAAAAATAATTTATTTCACTTATTTAAGGAGGCTCGGGTGTCTTCCTCCATTTTGGATTTTGAAGTAGCAGATAACGTTGGTCTAGACCTTTGATGAAATGTGCAAATTTTGAGAGTAGTATGTAATTTAAGTATAAGACTTTTGATGTAAATATAGAAAATTGTGTGTTTTATCATAATTACAGCTGTAATTTCTCAAAAACACCTGATTTGTGTTTGATTATTTTTTTTTCCAACTTTGCCAAATAAGGGGATATAACTCAGATAAAGTAATTTTTATAATAGAAAGTGTTGTGAATTTACCTATTTTAATCTGTAGCAAACAAGTACGGTGACCCCATTTTTTCTTTTTCTTATCTAAAAGCATGTTATAAGAGCTATCTTCTCACATTATATCTTAAAATTATATAATGTAGTTTTGTTTTTATCACACAAAATTTGATTTTTCATGCATAATCTATACAAAATCTGATAATTTTGCACAACCTGTAGCGTGAAAAAAAGTCCGGTGACCCATACTTTTTATTATATTTTTGAAAAAAGCATGATGAAAACTTCATTTTGACAAATTATTAAAAAATTCTATCAATTTTAATTGAGACGCCCTAACCACCTTAATCAATCATTTGAAGGTACACAAACGGCATTCAGGAAAGAAAACCAAATTTGGTTGAAATTGTAATAATCGACAAATTTTCATAGACATACATAAAAATATGTTTATCTCTAGAAACTCAACAATCGGACACCTAATAAACCACAAGGTTCTTAATTACTGAATTTGATGTAACATTATATCTTTTAATTAAATAATTATCATTAAAAGTGTTGTGGATTCCTTTTTGTGGGTACATATGTATATATTTGTCATTTCGTAAATGTGAAAATAATACAATCATACACTCACTAGAATATTACAATTGCATTGTTAGTTTTACAGTGAAAGTATAAGTAATTTTTCTATATCTGTAAATTGTATATAATGGGTTATGTTAGTCGTTTATAACTACTTATCCATTTTGTGCCATGAATGATTACCTTTGTTTTTTCTTAACTGCAATTAGGTACGACATGTTCATGTACCGCGAGTGGTGATCCTCACTACCGAACATTTGATGGGGAGATGATTCATTTCCATGGTGCATGCAAATATATACTTGCTGCAAGCAACGATGAACAATGTGGATTCTCCGTCGAAGGCAAAAATGAATATAGAGGTAAAAACCGTACGGTCTCTTACACGAGATTTGTCGACTTCTGGTACAAGGACAGATTATATCGCCTACACCAAGGACGGAAATTTTATGTAAGTTATAAATGGTTTTCAATTTTTTTTTTTGAAAATGAGTGAGGTCAGTCAGTTATTAAAATCACATCAGTGAACCACACTTTTGCTTATGTTATTGCCCTCTTCGTGAAGCATCACAAATTTTGCAAAAAAAAAAAAGGATAAATGTTATAAGTATTTAATTTGATAAATACTATATAGTCAGTAAATCATTGTGTTAACACATCACCGATAACCACAACTTTTTGATCTGTAAGTGTGCTGTTCCTTATATCCGTACATTTTCATGTGCGTTTCCTTTTAACTTGAATGCCTTTTATATACTTAATATATTTGCTATGTCCTTTTTGCATGATTACTTTCTCGGTATATAGCCGAATGTACGCAAGTTTCCTACTTGAATGACGCCAAACATTTTTTCAATTTATGAAATAAGTCAATAAACATGTAGAAAATGAAAATTAGACTTCTTTATTTGGATGCTTTTTAAATTTCTCTCAGATTTACATGAACATAAGAATTATTGGCAATGGTATTGTTTTGTATATTGATTTTAAAAACGATATGTAAACCAACACATGTAGGTACATACAGTGATTTGTGCCCTAACGACTTTTAGTTTAGTCCCCTAGGGTATACCTGCTCAGTAGACAGTACTTCGGCACTAGCAAAATAGTACGGAAATTGTGTTATCTGAATTGGTTATTACAAAGTTTTGGAAATTATTTTCGATTAAGGATTTATATCTCCCTCATGCAAATCTCTGATTCCTGACCCATATTTGGCTATACTGTATGTCCTTTTTGGTTTTATTATGTTTTCAAATTTGAATACGTTTTAGGTTTTCAAATATTCTGCCCTTGAGCATCACTGAATAGACATTTATTATTAGTATGGCGTCCATTATCACTGAACTAGTATACATATTTGTTTAGGGGCCAGCTGAAGGACGCATCCGGGTGCGGGAGTTTCTCGCTGCAATGAAGACCCATTGGTGGCCTTCGGCTGTTGTCTGCTCTATGTTCGGGTTGTTGTCTCTTTGACACATTCCCCATTTCCATTCTCAATTTTATTTATTGTCGAAATGTGCATTTGGTGTCGTAAAACTATTACCGTTGATGTTGAAATAAGAATAAAGCATACATGTGATTCTCTTTTGTATATTTTGTTCATATAGAAATAAAATAATTCGTTAAAATGTTTTATGGATGATCAATTCCAGTGTCCATCACAATTATGGTGATGCAGTCAAATCTGATCGGAATTATAATCATGCATACTGAAAAGCATTTATATATTAAAAGCACTGAGGTAAAAATATGTTTTGACACCCAAGGCAATTATTTGAATTAGTTCCTTTTGCATTTCATCATTAATTTACCACGTTCTATTTACTGATTGGTCCATTGTTTGTCTTTAACGTCCATTGGAATATATGATTACCATTTTAGGTCGACGGCATCCAAAAGTACTTACCATACGATAACAATGGAATTAAAGTTTATGTGACAGGAACTAAACTGAAACTGGAGGGACCATGTGATATAACTGTACTTTTCGATGGTAACCATTTCTTTAGAGTAACTATTCCAAAGACCATTGGCGAAAACGTTTTTGGCATCTGTGGAAATTGCAACGGTAAAAAAGATGATCTCAGAACAAAAGATGGAATTGATGTTTCGTCTGAGGAATCAAAATACACGACCATTGGAAACAGCTATGAAATACCAGATGATTCAGATTTATTTTTACCACAGTAAGATTCTTTAATTAAGAACTCGCAGCCCTGGTCATATATGCAATGCAGGAAAAGTTATCCATGTCGACGTAATGCTTTGACTTATTTTAAAGTATTTTGTGATTCTCTAATTTGTTTTAACTAGATTTATATATTCAGAATATATGTATATTTTGATTTGAAAACTAGTATTGATCTTTTTTCAATAAGATTTAATTAATAATATTAGTATTTTGTTGTCCTATGTTATGCTCGTTAGTTGATGCGCAGTGGACGGATAGGAATAATTACATGTATGTGGTCCATTTGCACACCCTGTTTTAAATTTTGTGTTTAGTGGTTTGTTGGTATATCTTCTCAAAGTACTTGTAGTGATAAACTTCAGCTATTATTTGTATTTAAGTTTTTTTGTAAATTATTTACCGTTTTTAAGAAACAAAACCCCATTATGATGCCAAAATTTAAAAGAAGAAAAGGAAAGTTTACTTGTGCTTTGTCGAATTACAATCTAGTTGCATTAAAACAACATATTTTTATTGAAAAAAACAAATCCTATCAATATCTGAAAAGCGATAGAAATGATTTTGATATTCCATAATGAAACAAACTAATCATTATCGTTTGAAGCGGAGATTTATACAATGTTTAGAGTGTAAAAAAATAAAGCATCCGAAAGATTTTATTTTTCTATAACAACAACACACGTTTTTTTCAATTCTGAGTATCATTATATGAGAACTTAGTCTTGTAAAATTAAGTGATGTACTGCATTTCTATCCATATCTTAGTGAAAGAAAAACACATACACATGTATATCTTTTTTTAAACGTTAGAAGCTGTGCTGCAGGAGCATCAATTATGCATCATATTATAATATATGAAATGCATGACAGTCCAGGTTAAAGCTATATGTCAGGCTATGTATGTTTTATAGAACGTAAGGTTTTATGTTTGTTTTTATAGGTGTACTCCGGGCAGCGATGGAAATTTGTGTTCTCCTAAACTCGAAACAAAAGCTAGGGATTCTGGTTGTGCACTTTTACATCCTGACAGTGCAGTATCAAGTCCATTTAAGATGTGTATAGAAGCTGATAAAATGACAGCTTTAGAGATGTACGATGCATGTGTTTTAGATTATTGCGCATTTTACGATGACGCTAACATCCGGGATGATATAGTGTGTCAAGGAATAGAAGGATATGCTGAACTATGCCAGGAAATGGGTATCTCAGTTCTTTGGAGAACCAAAGATGTGTGTCGTATGTTGAATATTTCTTATTTTGCAGACATTGATTTTATATTATAAAGTATGGCACTTAAGAAACAAATTATAATTTTGCGTACATTTTACAACTTGAGCCTAAATTTTAGCGAATAATGTCGATGCACCATTTGGAGTTCGTTCGATTACCCCAGTTTTTTGTTAGTTACGTTGATTTCTTTCTTCTTCATGGATTAAATTTTAACGTTGGTTCTTACATTTTGAGCCTGGTTTTTTTAAACAATGTCTGAATGAAATGTTAATGGCTGATTTTAATGATTATTGTAATAATTCATAAAAAATAATAATTGAAATTTGGATGTCATAAAAGAGATAAAATATCTCAAATTTTTATGCTATGATACGAATATGATATAACAAAATTTAAAGCTTTTTTGTTTCTTTGAAAAGCACTTCCATGTCAAGCTAATGCATTCTATAATGGAAGAATGTCTGCATGTCCAGCCACGTGTACAAACTTATCAGGTCCTAAAAATTGTAAACTACCATATGTAGAAGGCTGTCAATGTAAAAAAGGATATGTTCTGAGTAACTTAGAATGTGTACTAGAAACTGAATGTGGATGTCTTACTGCAGAAGGGGAATATATTCCAGTGAGTAAACAATATAAATTACGTTTGAGTGAGTTTTAACCAATAAGGACGACAGTTAAAAATGAATAATTGAGTATGTAGTATTTGACCAAAATCAGCATACTAAAACAATGTTACGTCGAAGGTAAGATGTCAACATGACAAAACGAACATATGAACAGACATCCTACAGCTTACAATTCATTGCACATTGTTTGATATACAGAATTCGACGATACATCATTGTGTAATAAGTTCCTGTTATTCATAAACTTATAGAATGGTTATTATTGGTGATTAGTTTTTTCAGAATAGTATAGCGACGGGTATCACAAGTCGAAAAAAACCGCGTGACCCTTCTTGGCTGAATCAGTGTTTGTGAAAATCGTGTTCCTCAATCATAAGTTTCTTTTCGTCATGTGTTGTGGACTCTCCTTTGATTGTTTTTCCTTTGACTTTGCATCCGTTGCCGTCTGACTTTCTACAATATTAGTTTGTTGATTATACCCTTAGTGTCCTTAAAAAACCCACAGAACTACATAATCAAAAAATGCTACGTTTTAGTCCTGTCAGAATTAAGGTTTACTAATATGTATATATTCAGGATTTCAAAGACAATTGAAATCAAATATTAAGAGTTTTAGAGATTCAAAGTTGGTACATTGACATACGATTTTATTTTTTTAATTTAAGCATTTTTTTGTTTATAACTATGTCTTGTATACAATTTTCAAATTCAACTCTTCATGAAATTGCATAAAGGTCTTGAAATTACTTTTTTATTTTTACATTATTTTGTAGAAATTATGCATTTCTTTATACATGTTTTAGGTTGGAAAAGTAATTGAAAGCCCGGATTGTACCAGCATTACCATATGCAAAATACAAAACGAAAAACCTAAATTGGTGACATCTAAACGTCCAAAATGTGGGGTCAATGCTGTATGTAAACCTATAAATGGACATTACGCATGTGGTTGTAAACCGGAAATGATTGGTGATCCTCTCAAAGAATGCAAAAGTAAACACTTACATTTAATCCGTGATACAAAGTAACAAAAAATGTCAAAGATATACATTAGCACACATATTTATATAAAAACAATGTCATTTCAATAAATGAATCCGCCCAACTGTGGTGATGTTAATACTAAATATATAAAGACAAGATATAAACCAGGAGGTCAAGATAAAAGTCTTTGGCCATATTAAGAGATTTATTTTCTTCAATTCGTTCTAATTTGACACTGTTACGCCAATGCTTGCGGAGTTTAATGTTCACAAACATGTATATTCTGGCCATATTTTGTTGTGCACGTCTGAAGTAGGGAATGTATCGATAATGGTTCTCGTTAATAGCCGTCGGCAATATTTAGTATTGATCATATCTATTTTATGCGCCCTGATGTTGTCCTTTACATTTTGCTATACAATGATCTTTTTCTAGTTATTATCAGGCATACCTTTTTATTCGTTTTTGACTGTCACACAGTGGCCTGTAGTTGTTAAAATTCTCAGTATTATTTGAATAATAAACCAAATCCTGGCAAAAAACGCAAATTGAAAACTATTTCAACTGCTTTTTTCTTTGTTGTAGATCCAATGTGTACCTGTTCTGCATTTGGGGATCCGCATTATACGACATTTGATGGACAAATGATTCATTTCATGGGAGCATGTAAATATACGGTAGTTGCAAATGATGACGCTTCCTGTCAATTTGCTGTGGAAGCCAAACAACAATACAGAAAAGGCAACTACAAAGTTACCTTCCTAAGACTTGTGGACTTTAAATACAATGATCATCACTATCGTTTGCATTTAGGCCGTCGGTTATATGTGAGTTCTTAGCAAATTGTAAAATAGACTTTTGCACAATTTTAATTTGACATCACATTAATCGAAACACTGCTTACAACAGTTAGACATCATGTGATCATTAATAGCATGTACATGATGTAAGTGTTATTTTGTTTGTAATTACATGTTTACAGGTGTAAAATACAAATACAATGAACAAAAAAGGATCTGTGAAACAAACTATGGGGCACAGTTGTAGCTATTTTGACAGGTTTTGAATGATAAAAAATTATACTGTCTCCTTGAAAACGTATTTCCGAACAACTGAAATAAATAGGTGTAAACAAAACGCAGTGACAATCACAAAAATAATCCAGAACAGCTACCTATTTACTAGATATTTTTGCGTTTGTTTAATTTTCGCTGTGTCAGTAGTATCTGAAAAACCCTGAAATGTGATCCTACCCAAATTACCATATTCCAAGATTATACTCTTTCTTATGGTTGTATACATTTGCTGTTCATTATCGAAGATACAGAATAGAAATATATCCTCTTTTCAACCTTAAGGTGAAGTCATAAATATAAATCTATAAAATGAGTCTTTCATGTCCATCGACAGATCCCGAATTTAAATATTTGAATCTCTGTTTTCATAATAATTGGCCTATCATACATGTCATGCCTTTTGACAACACAGCAAGCACTGACTTGTTCATAAATGGTTTGAAAAGCGCCATATTGAGTGTTGTCATTACCCAAACATTTTGCATATAATGTAAAAATATAAAACAGAATTAAATGATAAATCATATTTTCACAAATTTTGCATAAGTATGCTTAAAAATGCTATGTCAAGCAATACACAAATGATAAAAATCTTCATTTATTTAGCATGCCGCAATGTTCATACTTTACTCACCTTGAACATATCGAATGCTCTCCGAATGAAATATGTGTATTTTAGTTTGTAGTACTTGCATATATTTGTTATCTATAATCTGTCAGTGAATCAAGAATATATTAACTTTTCTGTGTATATTTTCTTATCAGCGAGAGTTATACACAGTGAAAATTTAACATTCCCGTTTTATCATCAAATCGTTACTCGAATAATTCAAGCCCTTTCCGTGTCCGATTTTCTCCCACACGAGGGCTTGAACTCCTTATGATCATTGGCCGCGTCGCCTGCTCTCTGTGAGAGAGAGCCAATCGGTGGCGATCAGGATAATGAGTCTGCGCAACTGTCTTGTAATTGTCTTACCAAACACGTGTGTTCAATTGAAATAAATCCGATAATAATTAATTAACATCAATTAACATCAATTAACATCAGTTTACATCATTTAACATCAATTAACATCCGGAACTCCTCCTTCTTTAGCTGCCAACTTAAATCTAAATTCCCATATTGCATAGCGGTGTGAATTTTCCGGTTGACGGTCTTTATCAAGGAAGACGTTCAGGCGTTAATGTAGCCTTCGTAGATCAGCGGAATATAACGACTGAATTATTCGGGTTAATCAAATCGCGAAAAAAAAAACCGACGCGAAAACACCCGATATATGGTATCTAATACAGTTATTATAATAACATACAGTCGTTCTTTGTTAACAATCTAATTATTTTTTTGTTGAAAATCATATGATACAGTTATTGTCTTTTTACCAGGTTGATGGCATTCAAAAGTATACACCATTCAAAAATAATGACGTGAAAATAGTAACAGCTGGTGGCGCATTACGAATTGAAGGACCTTGCGGTGTCATAGTAGAATATGATGGAATCCATATCATGAAAGTTCAAATCCCGCGAGAACTTGGAAAGGTTGTTCATGGTATCTGTGGTAACTGTAATGGTATTGCTGATGATTATAAAACCAAAGACGGTATAGATGTATCGAGCAATAAGAATTTGTATTCCCTCATCGGTAACAGCTATGAAGTTCTAGATGATTCTGACTTATTTCTTCCACAGTAAGCTACCACAACAAAAGTTATTTTTAATGTCTAGCTAACACTTGTGTCGCTCACGCAATTTTATAAACCAGGGATAAGTTAAGAGTACTCGAACGTATTAAAGTAGTACAAAAATACCATTTACCAAGTCTTATATTTAGTCATTGAAAACTTGATATGAGTTTCACAGTAAAAATACCCCTTCCATATAACAAAAATATTAAAAAAAAATATAAAAAAAATAAAGAAAATGAAATTAAGTTATCACCACGTCATAATTTGTTGAATGGTGACATATAACGAAAACGTTAAGTATCTTGTATACTGCAATTTTCTGTTCATCAATATATCACGTACACGTGATAATACAAACACATTGGCTACCAACAAAATGATAATAGCTTTTTTTAAAATCTTTACATCTTTTACTTTTACTCTCCTTAGACAAATGTTTTAACTACCAATTTATCTTATCATTTTTACAGTCTACATCATTTTTTGAAACTTGTACATTATTTTATATAAAAGGTTCTGAAAGGAATAGAGAATTTTTCAACGGAAGTGTGTTCCATTGAAAGATTATTCATGTATTTCAAAATGTTCAATTATTTACCCCATGCATCTGAATAACTAGCACACAGACACCTTAATTTTTCAAAGTCTATAACGTGTATATCAAAAATGATATATATTTTTTAATATTTAGTTTGTTTTTATGTCTTTTATTCAGCTAGTGTTAATATTCGTCTTTTGATTCTGGCTTTGTCTGGCTGTCAGTCTTCAGCTTCTTTGATGCTGATTGTTCCCTTGATTTCGTCTTGCAATTTTTTAAAAGAGAGTCAAAAGATACTAAAGGGATATTCAAACTCGTAAGTCGAATACAAATTGACAACGTCATAGCAAAAAATCCAAAACGACCAAAAGACAAGCAACCGTAGACAAAAAACAACAATAATTTTTAAGACTGTGCAACACAAACTCAACTAAAATACTGGGGGTGATCTCAGGTGCTCCGTAAGAGTTCATGTTGCTCAATGACATGTAAGTACAAATCCAGTGATAATTCTAATTGTATAGGTAACATTCGAGGAAAAGATTTAATTTGATATTAATCAAGGCAATAATAATGATATGAATGTATATTTATTGAGCAATGTACTATAATTTTTAGGTGTACTCCGGATACAGACATATATCCTTGTACTGATGACTTACTTTTGAAAGCAAAAAATTCACACTGTGGTCTTTTCAACCCTGAGAACAAACAATTCAGTAAATTTGAAAAGTGCGTCTCTGCTGACATTGAAAGGGCAATGGAGATGTATGATTCATGTGTTATTGACTTTTGTTTATTCTATGACACACCAGACTTGGATAAGTATGTATGTGAGGGTCTAGAAGGGTACGCATCACAGTGTCAGACCATGGGGATACCAATCAACTGGAGAGATGACAAGATTTGTCGTACGTAAATATTGAGTTTTATCAAAAAGACCACTCATTTCTGATAGTTGAAAAAGTGTATTTCATAGACGTGCATAATCATAAATCGATGTGAATGAGATGAGATAGTGGATATACACAAATATAATAACACACAGAAAAGCAAGACAACGCATGTGCAACATACACAATACACACGTATCTTAATTTCTTGCAAGACAATATTTTTGTTCGGCATGGGAAATATTTTCAAAATACTATAACATCAAATTATCGAACTTGCAATTTATATTGAATTCGCGATTATTTAAGATACCTTGTTGACAATCCTTGGTTTATTATGTTTATGTTTGCATTTCCCCCAAAGAACTTCGGCTTGATAAAGTTAATAATCTTGAAATTAACTGTCAATTTTATATATTTGTAACAATATTTTTTATACAAAATATCTATATTTGCCAATGGAAGCATAATATTGCAAATGATTTACCACATAATTTTGCTTTTGTCGCACATTTAGAAACAATATATTTAAACATTGACTAGTTTTGACACTCTTTAAAAAATAAATACTCAAGGCGTGTTAAACTAACCAGTTAAGTTTAAATGGTTCTCTTTTCCAAAGCTTGTATGATTTCTAATACCGCAGAATCTAATAAAATGCATGATGACATTTTAAGTTAACGAAAAGGATTGTTGTCTCTGGTTTTCCCTTTTTGTCGGCTAAACACCTTTTTTAAGGAACTATATGTTGAGATGCTTTTGTCAATGGTTTTTAATACAAATTATTATTTCAATAAAGTAAGTAAGTTTAATAGACATTAAAACTCGTATTCATGCCAAACCCTACTAAAAACCTACAAATGCACTAAATGTTAAGTGTGTTTATACATCCTAAATGCTAATATCATTGCATTTTACCTTTTAGCCCTATCGTGTCAGGAAAATGCAGTTTATAAGTCGATTACGTCATCATGCCCGGCGACTTGTGTTAATCCAGAAGCACCATTCAATTGTAATCTTCCGCCACGTGAAGGTTGCGAGTGTAAAGCTGGTTACATGTTAAGTCATCTGGCATGTGTACCTGTAGAACAGTGTGGATGTAAAACAGAAAAGGGCGATTATATTCCGGTAAGTTTTGTACAAGAAAAAATCTCACAGGGAAACGGTAAAAATCTATGTAAAGGACAAGTTTTATCCACAATGATAAAAATATATCCAAAGTAACCTAGATGAGTAATTTATGCTGAAAAAGTATATTTGGATGTCTATATGACACCTCAATGTCGTGTGCTACTATCAATAATTAACTGGAAAGCGATTTCATTAAAACCTTTCTTCAACTTTTAGATGAACATGTAAATTATTGATTGTTTGAAACTACATATAAGATCATTTTCGTGAATTTCGTTATTATTCAGATTGGTGCGAAAATAGAAAGTCCCGATTGTACAACTATTAAATCGTGTGAAGCTAAAAGGGACAGAGGAACATTTGTTAGTTTTACACGTCCTGCTTGTGGTAGAAACGCTGTATGTAAACCTGTAGATGGACATTACAAGTGTGCTTGTAAACCTGGTTTGACTGGTGATCCATTGAAAGAATGCACCAGTTAGTATATTTTCATTTCTGCTCAAATAAAATTGGCAGTAAAACTGCTCTTGGTTTTTCCGTCCGTTTTTTACAATTATGATTGGTAGATTGATCAACCAAGCAGTCAATCAATCAACATGCCTCAAAACGCTTCTTCTATTTTCTTTGTAAATGAGACTCGATAATATAATTATATTCAAATTTATTGTACTCTTGTTGAACCCGATCACATTGCTCAAGAAAAAACTAAAGGAGCAGTCTTCTCCACTTTACAATTATTATAAATCAAATATTTATGTGAGATGGCGTTATGTATACACAAACCTGATTTTACATACTACTAATTTCTTGTTTTGAACAACAGCAATTTCGATTATGATTGTATAATTTCAGACCCGACGTGTTCATGTACTGCAAGTGGTGATCCACATTACAGGACATTTGATGGACAGATAATACATTTTTTGGGGACTTGTAAATACACTGTGGCTGCTTCTGATACACCTTCCTGTCGCTTTGCTATTGAAGCAAAACATGAATACAGGGGTGGAAATAAGAACGTGACCTACATGAGACTTGTTGATTTCAAATTCAATGGACATGTATATCGTTTGTACATGGGTCGTAGACTATATGTGAGTATGCATAACGATTTGTAGGTATTTGGAAAGATAAATTATCTAAGAATGAATTTCATATTTCTAAAGACAGATTTAGCATAGTTACGTTATATGAGCAATTAAAAGGTCTGTCAACTAATTTTTTATGCCCCACCTACAATAGTTTTTGATGAAGTTGAAGTCTAATCAACTTGAAACTTAATACACATGTTCCCTATGATATGATTTTTCTACTTTTAATGCCAAGTTAGAGCTTTTACCCAAGTTTCACGGTCCACTGTACATGGAAAATGATAGTGCGAGTGGGGTATCCGTGTACTATGGACACATTCTTGTTTTATTCTATATGAGAGAGAGGCGAAAGATATCCAAGGGACATTCAAACAAGTCGAGAAAAAAAACCTCAGGTCCTCTGGAAGGATAAGCACATCCTGCTTGATGTTTTAAAATTGGATCGGTAGAAATGTAGAAAATAAGGAGATGTGGCATAATCGTCTAGGTATTAGGCACCTATACACAAATATTAGATATAAAGATATAATAAAATTTCTATCAACAATGTGCACAATTAAGTATTGTTCTAGACTGCCATGTGTAAGTTAGTAAGTATTTGGAAAGGAAAATTATCTAAGAATGAATTTCGCATTTCGAAAGACAGATTTAGTATACGTTATATATTCGTATTAAATTATAAGCCTGGTACTATTTAGCGTCGTAACTATTTTTAAGGTTGATAGCATTCAAAAGTATCCTCCTTTTGTGGGAGATGGTGTCATGGTGTACACATCAGGTCAGAAATTACGACTGGAAGCCTCTTGTGGTGTTGTTGTGGAATATGATGGTATTCATATAATGAAAGTTATAATCCCAAAACAGTTTGGACAGAATGTTAACGGTATATGTGGAAACTGTAATGGTAAACAAGATGATTTAAGAACAAAAGACGGGATTGATGTATCCACAAACAAAAACAAATTCTCTCTGATTGGTAACAGCTACGAAGTATTGGATAACTCCGATCTAATTATCCCACAGTAAGTGTAACATTATCTTTGATTGAGTATTGATTTTGTTAAATATATAGGTTGACAAATGTTATGGGAATTTTTAAATAACTACACATACTTAGAGCACAATTTACTTGTATTTTTCCTTGATTAGGATTAGATGTATTTATTTCTCTTCTCTTGATTTTTGATTATTGTATAATAACTTCTAGATATGCTATTTTATAATAACGTTAATAATTATGATTATGTAGTTAGAAGATAAATTAAGACCAAAACATTCAAAACCGAATTATTTAACAACTTTATGAGGGTATACTACGGCTTATATAATTATAGTTATATGTCGACACATATTAAAGTTATTAACCTGCTAAAAAGAAATTGTTCCCGAAATTTTATTGGTGTCCAGATTATGCATGATTTGTCCGAATTAACAATATTAATACCCGAAAATTTCAAAACACCTCAATAACATTCAAACGTTAATATTTTGGCACATTAATTGACATGAATTATGAGACAAATCATAAATCTAAATAAACGTTATACTGGAATTTGATTGACTTGATTGTCATTAAAATCACAAGTTCATTCAATCAGATTAAGAATTTTTATAACGATTCTTAGATGTTGGTTTGTTGTCTGATTATGTAGTTTGAAGATAAATTTAGATCATAGCAGCCAAAGCCGAATTATTTAATAGTTGTTTGAGGTTATGCTAACGGCTTATAGAATTATAGTTATCTGTCGACAAATATGAAAGTTATTGACCTGCTAAAGAGAAGTTGTTGTCCCATTTCCTGACTTGGGAACGTATTGATTTTTTTAACAAGATTTACTGAAGGCACCTGATATGTTTGAATTATTCATCATATTTGTCAGACATGTGGACTAATAAATTTACAGCATAGTGCATAACATACTGTTTCAATTTTCTAATCAACACCTTCTGTTTCAACTCGGATTCTCCAATCCTCTAAAACAATTTACATTCATGAATAAATTCCCAACTGCTATAATGGCATTGGTCCAAGTAGTCTGGCTTCTGCATTACCAGCCTGTCAACACTGAGGCTCTAAGTTAAAATGTTGCAAGTGGCAGGTGCTCTTGGCTTCAATCTTAATCGACTAGGATTGTCAGTTTTCCTTTCCGAAGGTCGGTTTCTCCGGAGCACTCCGTCTTCCTCTGCCAATAAAAACTTACCGCCACGAAATAGCAGAATGTGCTGAAAGTTGCATTGAACACTAATCAATCTTATTTTCTAAACTTTGGAAAGTAGTCTAACATGTATGATTTATAATTATCAAATCCTCTTACATATTTCAAAAACACATTCTGATACTAGGCAGAAAGGTCGCGCATATATTGAATTGAGCAACTGCCGTTTATTAAGAACTGTATCTTTAAGTGGAACCAGGCTTCTTGAGATTTTATCCACATTATTTATGAAAAAAGTAAAAAAAAAAAAAAAAAATGCAAGAAGAATAATATCAAGTAGATAATCAATTTATTTTTGTATTGCAAGTGTTCCCGTTTTGAGTTGATTTGTCATAATTGTTATATCAAGTTTATCACCAAATCAATTATTTCATCAGATGCAAATCTGCCATTGATGTAAATCCATGTACAGATGAATTATTACGCAAGGCGAAAGAATCTTTGTGTCGATTCATAAAAGTAGATACTATGTACGGTAAATTCAAGAAATGTGTCACTGCTGATTCTGAGAGAGCTACGGAGATGTATGATTCTTGCATCATTGATTTTTGCGCTTACTATGGACGACCAAACTTCGATGAGGTTATGTGCGAAGGTCTACAGAGATTTGCGGACCAATGTAACATAATGGGAATACCTATCAGCTGGCGAGATAAAAAACTATGCCGTATGTTAATTTCTATTTGTTTTTGTTATATTGCACTTCATACAATTTAAAGGCATGTACAAACTATTATCAGTGATAAGTGTACCAAATGACTCATTACTCATCCTCTCCCCCTAAAAAATACCAAACAAAAACACGCATCACCGCAACTTAAACAAGTTGTGCATTACAGATATTGTGACTAGTTTTTCGTTGCTAAATTAGGAGAGTAAACTTGTTTCTTTGTGTATTTGCTTCTTGAATATTTGGTTTGTTATCTTTTGATTAATGTAGGATAACGTCGTAAATATAAACTCAATTGTTGTAATGTAAGTATTGGAGATATATGATTTTACAATCAATGCTAACATCGATTACAGTTTAATATGTTCACCACGTGAACAACTGCAACAAGCGCTGTTTACAATTCTAGACGATTTTAACTGGAAAACACCTGTCATGTTTAGAAGTGTGAAAATTGTCCGATGAATAAATCGATTTAAAATCAAGTGACCCATGTAACATATAAGTTAAATGAATACATTTATTTTTTTTAATATTTGTAAAAAAAGCAATTGAAACTTTGAACATTTTTTATACGTTCACACAAAAAATGAAAACAACACGTTATATATGTCCATGCGTCCGAAGCGTTTTTCTGGATTTACCTTCATCAGGAACGCTCAAATCCGAATGTTTGAAAGCTGAGGATGTAAAAGAACCAAAACAGTTGAAGAGCGATATGACAAAAGAATACCTTAAAAAAAAGCCAAATCCATCGAAGGTCAACATTGCAGTTGATAATCGGTAAACAGAAATAGCCAAACACAATGATCTTTACTGGTATAACAAGTGACATACTTAAAAAAACGAATCAAAATACCTGCTTTCAAAATTCATCTAATGTCAGGTTAATCCATATGTAGCAGCAATTCAGATAAAATTACAAGTAAATAGTATACATACATATATTCTTATTAAAATACTGATGCAAATATATGTTGAACTTTAAAAAAATCATATTCACTTTGAAACATTAAAAGTTTGATATCATTTCAAAACATTTTATTTTATTGATTTCTTTCATTACAGCACTATCTTGTGGTCCAAATGCTATATATAAACCACAGATATCATCATGTCCAGCAACATGTTTGGATCCGCTTCTGTCAAAAAGTTGTAAAAGGTCACCACAAGAAGGATGTGAATGTAAAGCAGGCTATTTCCTGAGTAATTTAGACTGCGTACCAGACACTCGATGCGGTTGTACAACGTCATACGGCGAATACGTACCGGTAGGGTTTTCTTTTAGAGAATTCTTCAGAAGTTTACAAATCAAAGCCTAACATGTTCATAGGTTAGCAAAACTATTACCTTCAGAAAAACTGGGGAACATCACGCTTCTTTTCACACTGTTTATAGCCAATTTCACCATTAAATTTTTTTTCAAAATCGACGTGATTTTAACATGACATTAATAGACCTGTTTAAACCATCTTCCTATGATACAATAAAATTGTTTCCCGAATTTCAATTGCTGCCATATAAATACATTAATATATTACGTTTTTTTTAATTGATTTATTAGCCTTTAAATAAAAACAAACTAAAAGCAAATTCTTACTTTTTGTCTGTACTGTTTTCACCTTGTACACAATTAATATAAACTGTGGTAAAAATAGTATTGGGTAAAATCCATTAGAAAATTCACATAACCATTGCCATAAATCACAAGAGTCAAAACATAAAGTGTGTTTGCATGAAAAACGGATCATTAATTTAAAGTATGCTCTGCTTCTATAAGAGTCAAAGCATACTGTCAAAACAATATGATAAATTTGAATAATACTGCAAATCAAGCTCTTCATGTTTGAAATACCAACAAGGCTGCCATTTTATTTCATGTAAAGGTTGGTTCAACAATTGAAAACCCAGATTGCACTATTGCCAGAACGTGTCAGTTGATAGCCGGTAAAGCAAAGTTAGTTGCAAAGAAGATGTCACCGTGCGCTACAAATGCGCATTGTGAACCTGTAAATGGGCACTACAAATGTGTATGTAATCCTGGTTTTCAAGGTGATCCTTTGGCAAAATGCACAGAAATCAGTAAGTTGATTTATTTTTCCTAGTAACCATTAAGAGAAACAAATCTTAACAATTAACGAATAAGAAACTATCTTCTGATTCATAAAGAAGCAAAACCTGAATCATATGTCGAAGAACCTTTTAAGATATATGTAAGTTTTATGTACATCACGATTACAATATGTGATGTTTCCTTAGATATAAAATACAAATGTATTTTGTTATTGTGTTAAGGGGTACAGAACACCTAAGAAAGATAACTCTTAATCATAGTCTGTTTTATTGCAGCGTTTTAAAATCACATGTAATATGCAAGATATTAAAAGATTCAAATCAGAATGTTTACATGTTTGCTAAGAGCAGACGTAAACCTCTGTTTTACCTTTTCGTTTAATCTTTAAATTTATTTACATCAACAAATTTTCCATAAATGAATCTTCAAAGAAACCAAACAGGAAAATTTCAAAGCAAAATAAATGAAAAAAAAGCAGAAGGTCGGATGTTTTGAAATGGGAAAATGAAGGGAAACAGAAAAACTTAGAAGTAGTTGGCATCTTTAACTCTCTGAGTTACTAGCCGGGTCCCAAAAGGACACATATGTCCATTCCACATTGTTATGAAATACAATATAGTAGAATTCGATAAATAGCCTACAAAACTTATAAATAAGTACTCATTTTAAAACCTTGTACTCCACAAACATGTTCTATGTAATTTAATGCAAATCTCGCCGGGCAATATACAAGCAGATCGTCAATGTTTTGAAACTTTGTTACATTTTTCCATCTAGCTTTCATTTTCTTTAGCGAAGTTTACATCTTATAATCAATGATGTAATTTATTCTTAAGCTTGCAATCTATAGGATTTTGATTTTATTAACAATAGATTCGATATTTACTTTTTAATATTTCTTGGTATAATGTTTTAAGAATTAAGAATATTGACAAGTTTTGTAAAAAGTTTTCAGCGTTTCGTGACTTCAACGAAATTCATCTAAATGACGTCATATATTACGTCGTAAATTACTGTTGGACACTCACCGACGTCTTCCTTTGGTTGATAGCTACAAAATTCTTATTAAGAATAAACCAATAAAGCTTTTAAAGTAATAACCTACACAATCTTAACAGACATATTTTCGTACATATTCATGATATGAATAAGTTTGACAAAAAAATGCTTTTTGAATAATCTGAAATATTAAATCTTTAACAAGACAGCGACTCTGTTAATTTTCTGATATAGATAATTGTCTTCTATATATGTCCATCTGGTTACGAAGGAAGGCAACAAAACCCATATTTCGAAGTCAAACAATCAAAACTTGTATTTTTTTTACGACTTTCATAGAAAGTGTTTGCTTAGGAGTAACTGTCTTCATCTGTTATCCTTTTTAATTTAGATATAGATGATTGTCTTCTAAATCTATGCAAGAACGGAGCCAAATGTAAAGATAAACTAAAAGGCTACAACTGTATATGTCTACCTGGTTACAAAGGAAGGCATTGCGAAATAGGTACATTTATAGTGTTGTTTTGTTTCTATTTTCGGGATATTAGTTAAGGGCAGTTTATATATTCTAAATTTCGACAATTAATGTCTCCTCAATGATGCTAGTGATTGCAAAATTAAAAAAAATCAGAACCTTATTACAAAGTTGAAGAGATAATCAAACCAAACAAGACTCGAAGTATTGCAAGATCTGATCAAGTATTCCTTAGTTTTTTGATTATCTTATTTGATTCTTTTTGACACAAAAAGTAACTGGAAAATCTAAAATACAAATGAAAAAAACGTTAAACCGACTTTTAAAATGTCAATGAAGTGTATATTATTGAAACTCAATTTTTTTTAGAATCTTGTGCGATATTAAACTTTTCTTTCGGTCAAGCTTGTGTAGTAAATGATGTACAGGTCGATGTTAAGTATTTAAGAATTTGAAACTTGCCTTGTTCTATAAAATAAATTATTATTTCAGCTTTGTTGTATTTTTGTAAACTGTATTATCTGAAATATTTGACATGTGGTACACATATTTCAGATATAAATGAATGTCTGCCAAATCCATGCAAGCACGGCGCTGAATGTAAAGATAAAGTGAATGGTTACAGCTGCGCGTGTCCCCAAGGTTACAAAGGAAAGAATTGTGAAATAGGTATGATATCAGATTAGAATAAAAATATCTTAATATCATTATATTATTTTAGTTTTGGAAATCTGTTTTCTTAGAAAAATAATGAAATACAAAGGAGAAGAGACTAAAGAGGGGGACAACAAACAAAAAACCCACATTTCAAAGACTTACAGTCAACACTTTTGTCTTTCAGACTTTCAAAGATAGTAATTTCTTGAGGAAAACTATTGCATTTGCTATTCGTTTAATTTCAAATAAAGATATCTGTCTTCTACATCAATGCACCTGTGTCCCAGGTTAGGAGATGGTTTTGCGTTATCTAACTAGTATAATCCCGCCACATTCTGTATGTGCCTGTCCCAAGTCAGGAGCCTGTAATTCAGTGGTTGCCGTTTGTTGCTATGTTACAAATTTGTTTTTCCTTCAATATTTTGTACAAAAATTAGTCCGTTAGTTTTCTTGTTTGAATTATTTTACATTTTTCTTTTCGGGGTCTTTCATTGCTGACTATGCAGTATGGACTTTGCTCATTGTTGAAGGCCGTAAGGTAACCTATAGTTGCTAATTTCTGTGTCATTTTGGTCTTTTGTGGAGAATTGTTTCATTGGCAATCATACCACATTTTCTTTTTTATTAAAACGGTGCCAGATATAAAGATAAATTTAATAGCTACATGTGTATATATCCACCTGGTTACAAAAGAAGGCATTGCAAAATATGTGCATGTATGGTGATTTTCCTTTTTCCCGTGATATCAGTTTAGGGCATTTTCAAATTTTTAGTTTTAACAATTAATGTTTCTTCAGTAATGCTATTAAATGCAATATTAAAAAAAATCATTATATAAAAACAACGTTGAAGAGCCAATCAAACCTAAAAGGACCTAAAGTATTGCTTAATCCGATCAAGGAATCTAATTTGTTTATGAGAAAGATATATTCCTTAATCTATGATTATTCATTTTGAACCTTTTTGACAAAAATTAACTGGAAAATCTTGTAAAGCAAACGAAGAAAGTTAAAACAATTTTTATTATGACTATCAATTATATATTATTGAAACCTCAAAATATTTTAGTATCTTGTACGGTATTATGTTTTCCGACTGATCTATCGGTCAAGGATGTCTAGTAATTGACGAACAGGTCGATTTTAGGTATTTAAGAATTTGAAATTTGCCTTTGTTTATAAGATAATATAACGAAATAAGTTTTTAGCATTGTTGTATTTTTGTAAACTGTATTATCTGAAATATTTGACATGTGATTACATATTTCAGATATAAATGAATGTCTGCCAAATCCATGCAAGCACGGCGCTGAATGTAAAGATAAAGTGAACGGTTACAGCTGCACGTGTCGTCAAGGTTACAAAGGAAAGAATTGTGAAATAGGTATGATATCAGATAAGAATAAACATATCTTAATGTCATTATATTATTTTAGTGTTTGGAACCAGTTTTATTAGAGAAATAATGAAATATTTAGGAGAAGAGACAAAAAAGGGGGCAGCAAGACCCATATTTCAAAGACTTACAGTCAACACTTTTGTCTTTAAGACTTTCAGAGAGAGAAATTTCTTGAGTAAAACTATTTTATTTGCTATTCGTTTAATTTCAGATAAAGATAACTGTCTTCTACATCGATGCACCAATGTCCCAGGTTAGGGGAGGGTTTGGTGCTATCTAATTGGTTTAACCCCACCACATTCTTCACGTGCCTGTCCCAAGTCAGGAGCCATTAATTCAGTGGTTGCTGTTTGTTACAGTATTACAAATTTGTTTATCGTGCAATATTTTGTACATAAACTAGGCCATTAGTTTTCTCGTTTGAATTATTTTACATTTGCCTTTTCGGGGCCGTTTAATTACTGACTATGCAGTTTAGACTTTGCTCATTATTGAAGGCCGTACGGTGACCTATAGTTGTTCATTTCTGTGTCATTTTGGTCTCTTGTGGAGAGTTGTCTCATTGGCAATCATACCATTTCGTCTTTTCTATAAAAACGACGGCAGATGTAAAGATAAATTTAATGGCTACATGTGTATATGTCCACCTGGTTACAAAAGAAGGCATTGCAAAATGTGTACATGTATTGTGTTTTTTTTTCTATTTTCCGTGATATCAGTTTAGGGTATTTCATATTTATAGTGTTAACAATTAATGTCTCTTCAGTAATGCTAGTAAATGCAATATTAAAGAAAAAATCAGAACCTAAAAAAACGTTAAAGAGCTAATCAAACCAAAAAGGACATAACATATTACTAAATCCGATCAAGGAATCCAATTTTTGCATGATAAAGATATATTCCTTAATCTATGATTATTTATTTTGAACCTTTTTGACACAAAAAATAACTGGAAAATCTTGTATAGTAAATGAAAAAAGTTAAAACAATTTTTATTATGACTATCAATTATATATTATTGAAACTCCAAAATGTTTAAGTATCTTGTACGATATTATATTTTCCGACTGATCTTTCAGTCAAGGATGTCTAGTAAATGACGAAAAGGTCGATCTTAGGTATATTTAAGAATTAGAAATTTGCCTTGGTTTATAAAAAAATTATAACGAAATAAGTTTTCAGCCTTGTTGTATTTTTGTAAACTTTATTATCTGAAATATTTGACATGTGTATACATATTTCAGATATAAATGAATGTCTGCCAAATCCATGCAAGCACGGCGCTGAATGTAAAGATAAAGTGAACGGTTACAGTTGCACGTGTCGTCAAGGTTACAAAGGAAAGAATTGTGAAATAGGTATGATATCAGATTAGAATAACAATATCTTAATGCCATTATTTTATTTTAGTGTTTGAAATCTGTTTTCTTAGAAAAATAATGTAATACAATGGAGAAGAGACTAAAGAGGGGGACAACAAACGAAAACCCATATTACAAAGACATACAGTCAACACTTTTGTCTTTAAGACTTTCAAAAAGAGTAATTTCTCTAGGAAAACTATTTCATTTGCTATTTGTTTAATTTCAAATAACGATATCTGTCTTTTACATCAATGAACCAGTGTCCCAGGTTAGGGGAGGATTTGGCGCCATCTAACTAGTTTAACTCCGCCACAAACCAAGATCAGTCGCAAAACATAATATCGTACAAGATACTTAAACATTTTGGAGATTCAATAAGACCTAAAGTATTGCTAAATCCGATCAGGAAAGCGAATATTTGTATGAGAAAGACATATTTCTTAATCTATGATTATTTATTTTGAACCTTTTTGACGAAAAGTAACTGGAAAATCTTGTATAGCAAATGAAAAAAATTAGAACAATTCTTATTCTGACTATCAATTATATATTATTGAATCTCCAAAATGTTTAAGTATCTTGTACGATATTATGTTTTGCGACTGATCTTTCGGTCAAGGATGTCTAGTAAATGACGAACAGGTCGATTTTAGGTATTTAAGAATTTGAAATTTGCCTTGGTTTATAAGATGATAATACGAAATAAGTTTTCAGCTTTGTTGTATTTTTGTAAACTGTATTTTCTGAAATATTAGACATGTGTATACATATTTCAGATATAAATGAATGTCTGCCAAATCCATGCAAGCACGGCGCTGAATGTAAAGATAAAGTGAACGGTTACAGTTGCACGTGTCGTCAAGGTTACAAAGGAAAGAATTGTGAAATAGGTATGATATCAGATTAGAATAAACATATCTTAATGTCATTATTTTATTTTAGTGTTTGAAATCTGTTTTCTTAGAAAAATAATAAAATACAATGGAGAAGAGACTAAAGAGGGGGACAACAAACGAAAACCCATATTACAAAGACATACAGTCAACACTTTTGTCTTTAAGACTTTCAAAGAGAGTAATTTCTCTAGGAAAACTATTTCATTTGCTATTTGTTTAATTTCAAATAAAGATATCTGTCTTCTACATCAATGAACCAGTGTCCCAGGTTAGGGGAGGGTTTGGCGCCATCTAACTAGTTTAACTCCGCCACAAACCAAGATCAGTCGCAAAACATAATACCGTACAAGATACTTAAACATTTTGGAGATTCAATAAGACCTAAAGTATTGCTAAATCTGATCAGGAAAGCGAATATTTGTATGAGAAAGACATATTTCTTAATCTATGATTATTTATTTTGAACCTTTTTGACGAAAAGTAACTGGAAAATCTTGTATAGCAAATGAAAAATATTAGAACAATTCTTATTATGACTATCAATTATATATTATTGAATCTCCAAAATGTTTAAGTATCTTGTACGATATTATGTTTTGCGACTGATCTTTCGGTGAAGGATGTCTAGTAAATGACGAACAGGTCGATTTTAGGTATTTAAGAATTTGAAATTTGCCTTGGTTTATAAGATGATATTACGAAATAAGTTTTCAGCTTTGTTGTATTTTTGTAAACTGTATTTTCTGAAATATTAGACATGTGTATACATATTTCAGATATAAATGAATGTCTGCCAAATCCATGCAAGCACGGCGCTGAATGTAAAGATAAAGTGAACGGTTACAGTTGCACGTGTCGTCAAGGTTACAAAGGAAAGAATTGTGAAATAGGTATGATATCAGATTAGAATAAACATATCTTAATGTCATTATTTTATTTTAGTGTTTGAAATTTGTTTTCTTAGAAAAATAATGAAATACAACGGAGGAGAGACTAAAGAGGGGGACAACAAACGAAAACCCATATTACAAAGACATACAGTCAACACTTTTGTCTTTAAGACTTTAAAAGATAGTAATTTCTCTAGGAAAACTATTTCATTTGCTATTTGTTTAATTTCAAATAAAGATATCTGTCTTTTAACTCAATGAACCAGTGTCCCAGGCTAGGGGAGGGTTTGGCGCCATCTAACTAGTTTAACTCCGCCACAAACCAAGATCAGTCGCAAAACATAATATCGTACAAGATACTTAAACATTTTGGAGATTCAATATGACCTTAAGTATTGCTAAATCTGATCAGGAAAGCGAATATTTGTATGAGAAAGACATATTTCTTAATCTATGATTATTTA